GTGTTTTTGATTGTGAGCAAGGAGGGGAAAGGGACGGGGGCAAGGGGTCTCTCCCCATATCTGTAATTATAAGAAAAAACACCCCAACGTGATTTTTTCTTACTTAATCCCTGTCGAAATCCCCATTTATAGTTGTTGTTTTTCAACCTGGCCAGTACAAAATCTGTCTTAAAAGTTGGTGTTGGGTGTTACAAAACCCGGCCAGTACAACTCTGTTTTAAGGGGTTTTGTTGTGTTACAAAACCCGGCCGTACAAAACCCGTCCCTTTAAGGGTTTTTGTTGATGTTTCAAACCCGGCCAGTACAACTCTGCCTTAAAGTTTTGTTGGGGTGTTACAAAAACCCGGCCAGTACAACCCCTGTCTTTAAAGTTGTTGGATTTTTACAACCTGGCCAGTACAAAAATCGGTTTTTAATGTTGGTGTTTATGTTTTCAACCCGACCCCCTTCAACTCTGTCCCCTTTTTTGTTGGTTTTTGGGTGTTACAACCTGGCCGTACAAATCGTTTCAATATTGAATTTTTATGTATTTGTCATTTTTTATCTTAAATCAAACAGTTTTTTTTTAATGTACTGTTTTTGTATGTTTTTTTGTGTGTGCTTGTGTACTGCTGTACTTTTCTCTTGTATGTTATTGTACTCTTCTTGTGTTACAGTTTTGTTCTTATATGTTACTGTATTGTTCTTTTGTCTTACTGTACTGTACTGTTTTGTGTTGTTCTATTGTTATTATGAGGTACTTTTCTAGACAGTTCTTCATTACTTATATTTTGTCTTTTCCGTCAGGCGATCAATCACACTCGTGACATAATCACTGCTTGATATAATCAGCAGACAACAAACAAACACAAATATTTATGTGCTAGTATGCAGTTCTTGCATGTTACAGTAGTAATTTTCTTCCGTGTTACTGTATTTTTTTTAAGTTACTGTACTATTCTTGCTTGTTGCAGTACAGTTTTCCTGAATTACTTTACTGTTCTTGTGTGTTGACATGCTGACTGTGTTGTTGAGGTGAGGTAAAGGTTCTACATTATTATCTACATCAAGCACTTCAAATTTTCCCACTGTACCTTCTACAACAGTGTCTCCCACACTAAATATCAAAGACTTTCAGTGTTTATTTATTTAAAACAAATACTGAGGATTGAGACATGCAACAAAACCATTTATCACAAAAATACTATTCATGCAAATGTTAAGACAATGGTCGTCTCTTTGTGACAAGTCTTGTGTAAATATTGACTTAAATCTTCAGTTTCTCCTACTTACACTGCTGCGACAAGTGTACAAGTCTTCAAGAGGAAACTGGATAAGTATCTTCAAGTGTCAGATCATCCAGGATACGACTGATATATGGGGCAATGGGCCACCAGTAGCAACAGCCTGGTTGACAAAGCCAACACCAGGAGAGCCTTTATGGTCGGGCTCCGGGAGTAGAGACTCTGAACGTCTTGCAACCTTCGTTTTTTTTTTTTTGGCAATATAAAAAATATAAACGATCCATCTTGTTCACAGAAATTTGTATCCCTGCCCAGACTCGTTCCGTAAAAAGTTTTTAATGAATAAACTCTTATTTTGTACTAATAAATTAATATACAACAAAACTGCTGGTCTGATTTACACTAAATAAATGAACAACTGGTTAGCGTGTTAATTATTGAGAGACAGACTCTTGTTACACTTCCTGGAGATAACAAGAACTGCCAGAGACACAGACAAAGACAGAGACAGACAGACGCACACGCGCACAGTGAAAGTGATGATAGTGAGAGTGATCAGTGTCTACAGACACACCGACAATGAAAGTGACAATATCACAGCAGTAATATTAGTTATTTGTTATTATAATGATTGTTGAGATAGATAGATAGATAGATAGAGAGAGAGAGAGAGAGAGAGAGAGAGAGAGAGAGAGAGAGAGAGAGAGAGAGAGAGAGAGAGAGAGAGAGAGAGAGAATGAGGAAAATGAGAATGGTAATGAAAGTGAGAGTACCAATGATAAGGTCAACCGTTCCGCTTCGTGTCTTTAATTACCTAAGAATCGGCAGTCACTTTCTCAAGGAAGTACTTTAGGCCCAGGAGAAAGTTAGGTTTTGGTCACGAGTGATGGAGACCAATTGGCACTGTCTACCTGCTTGCCTGCCTGCTTGCCTGCCTGCCTGCCTGCCTGCCTGCCTGCCTGCCTGTCTGCCTGCTTGCCTGCCTGCCTGCCTGCCTGCCTGTCTGTCTGTCTGTCTGTCTGTCTGTCTGCCTGCCTGCCTGCCTGTCTGCCTGCCTGCCTGTCTGCCTGCCTGCCTGTCTGTCTGTCTGTCTGCCTGCCTGCCTGCCTGTCTGCCTGCCTGCCTGTCTGTCTGTCTGTCTGTCTGTCTGCCTGCCTGCCTGTCTGCCTGCCTGCCTGCCTGTCTGCCTGCCTGCCTGTCTGCCTGCCTGCCTGCCTGCTTACCTGCTTGCCTGCCTGCTTGCCTGCCTGCTTGCTTACCTGCTTGCCTGCCTACCTGCCTACCTACCTACTTACCTGTCCCTGTTCCTGTCCCTCTCCCCCTCCCCTTTCTCTCTCTCTCTCTCTCTCTCTCTCTCTCTCTCTCTCTCTCTCTCTCTCTCTCTCTCTCTCTCATAGTGAACCAGTTTCCTCTTGAAAATTTGTACATTGGTTCCGCCAGTATTTCCTAAGCCAGCTAGTTGTATACTGAGTCTGGACCACGGAAGTGGACACTATTCTTCAGATGTACATAAATGGTATACAATATCGACAAGATGAAAATTAGACACTTGTGCAACATCTGGGTATCTTTATTGTAGACGTTTCGCCATCCAGTGGCTTTATCAATACAAATTCCAGGACATAACTTGAAGACAGTAGAACTATATGCAAAAGATGAGGTAATCAGTCCCTCAGCCTTGGAGTTGGTGTGAAGAGCACCGTAGTCGTGAAGATTCTGGAGCAGAGGCAAGAAGGCTGGCGTTTATATACTGGCGTCAGGTGGACAGGGACGGTAGCAGACGAGGGCATAGTCACTGGTAGGCGGGATTCCCCTTCACGACTACGGTGTTCTTCACACCAATTCCAAGGCTGAGAGACTGATTACCTCATCTTTTGTATATAGTTCTGTCTTCAAATTATGTCCTGGAATTTGTATTGATAAAGCCACTGGATGGCGAAACGTCTACAATAAAGATACCCAGATGTTGCACATGTGTCTAATTTCCATCACACTGTTGTTCAGTTATGACCGCAGCACCGCTGCTTAACAGTAGATTTAACGATAACTAAGACACTTGTCCAACACTTGGGAATATTTATTCCCAAGTGTTGGACATGTGTCTTATTTATCAACTTGTCGTTTTTTTTAAATAATTTATACTAAGTAGATATAATGAACGCTTCCTTACATATTTGACTCAAAGTTGTTATAGCAGTGTGTAGATTGGAGACCAGACTCGAACATTTTTTTTTAGTACATGTTACCAGTTATTGCTCTCTCCTCCGTTCCAGAAAGTATATTGCAAGTGCTGTGAAGGGTTGCCAGGAAACCAGATGCTGACTCTATATGGGCAGTATACGATCACTGTAGATTTTCCAGCACTGATGTCTCTCCAGGTTTGAGAGATGAGAGCACAAAACAATATTCTAGACGTGGGACTACAATTAACTGAATTATTTAGTATTCTGACTTCGTGTTTTAAATGTTATTATGCAACCTATTATTTTTCCAGTCTTGGCTCCAACTGCCTTATTTTGTTCTGCAAAATAGTTTCCCCCCGTTAATATTTCCAGGTGTTTTACATTATATTTCCACTCTCTGGGATGGCATGTCTGTGTTCTATATTCTGTGCCCGTTGTGAGTTCTTTATTTTCTCTACATCAAATAATTGGAATTAGTCACCAGAGAATATCATGTTATTGTGATTAACGCGGTGGACGAGTGTTGATACCTGTTGGTAGTTTTATTTTTTGTCTTCTCCTGAGGGTACTTTCACAGTTACCGCAAAGGATGATACGAAGCTGCGGCTTGTGCTTTGTTCTGTCTGTTATGAGGGTAAGAAAACGCTGAAGGTGCTAGTGCTGCACCTTGTGGGAACTGAACTTTAAACGTTGCTCATTTGCTGAGACTGGACTGTGCTGTTTACTACCACTATCTGTGATCTGATTTTTTTCTGTTATACATTTTGATCTCATTTCATGGCCTACTATTCTACGGTCGCATTAACGTGTCTGGAACAGTTAGTAACTAACATACAAATTTGAGAGGAAACTTCAGACGTTTTTTTGGACATTGAGGACTACAGCACCAACAGACTGATTGATTAAGTCGTCAAAGCGATGAGTCCACTAATAGAAAACTCAATAAATGTAAGAGGACCACAGCTCTGCAACACCCTCCTCTCATTCATACCTTTGAAGGGGAAATTATACACGAATGGTATACAATACCGACAAGATGGCAAACAGACACATGTGCAACAACTGGGCAACTTCAGTGTAGACGTCTCGCCATCCAGTAGCTTTATCAGTACAGTTTAAAGGACATAATATGAAGCCAGTAGAACTATATACAAAAGATGAGGTAATCAGTCCCTCAGCCTTGGAGGTGGTGAAGACCACCGTAGTCGTGAAGATTCTGACTCTACAATGAAGATACCCAGATGCTGCACGTGTGTTTAATTTTCATCTTGTGTACCAGTCATGTACAATAAGGGAAATTACCAACAAATCTCTGGCTGTCTTCAATAGGGAACTTGATTAGTTCCTCAACTGGACTGAGTGTGGTCAGCATTAACAGCCTGATTGATCAAACTAGCAACCTGGAGGGCCTTGGCGGCTATGACCCCTGGAATTGACTACAGGTAGGTAGGTAGACAATTATAAAGTGGTGAGGGGTTTTAATATCCTCACCCACACAGCGTGTCAATGAACGCAGATTCTGTACCAGAAAGAACACATTTACATAATATACAACACTGGACCGTAAATACTCCTGATGACAGCGTGAGTTTACCGTGAGAGTCTCAGTGTTGATGACCAAACACCAGTCGTGAAGGACCAAGTATGGCTCTGAAGACAAGTTAATCGTCCAAATAAGACCGAAACGTCGTCTCAAGTTTTCATCTCCTATATGAGAGTTGTGTGGGTAAGCATGGCTCTGATTCTGGAGAATTTCGTCGACAAAGAGAGCAGAATTTGTCGTTTATTTTACAAGAGCCACTTAAAAGTCTTGATACATCTCCCACCAGCAACAACTTCCAACGCGAGAGACCAGGTGATCCGTGCGTGTACTCTCCCGGTTCCTGCAGACGTCAGAACCAACCACCAGGAAATGAGTTTACAGCACCGTGAAGCAGCTACAGGCGAAGGAACACCGAGGAACGCGAATTTAACACTACTGCAGCTTCAGTCACTAAATCACTGGTGACTTAGTAGCGGCTAGTCACTGATTCATTGGTCACTACTGAAGCAATGGCAGGAAAGACAGAGAATACAGCACCCAAGGCCAGTTGTGTCCCTGCAACAGCCAGAGAGTACGTAGACATCTCACAGCAACACAAGAGGGAGGTCAACACTGCACTAGCTACACGCGAAGAGCAGCTGGTGCATTGTCCACATCAGATAAGACAGATAATGTGATTTAAGTCTTCTCCCAGGTTGTTGTGTTGGGAACTTGATCTTATCAGGGAAGAAAAGAGTCAAGTTACTTCTGTGAACCTTTTACCCGATTTTACTTCTCTCTATATTTATCTTTTTTTTCTGCTCCCTTTCTTCTACTTATACCCATCATTTACTGATCTTGTTCTTTCTCTTGTTACTGCTGCTAATGCCTCTGTTCGTTTTCACACACACACACACACACACACACAAAACAACACACACAAAACACACACACACACACACACACACACACCCAAACACACACATACACACACACACACACACACACACTGGACAGGCTGCAGACCTGGTCCAGCAATTGGTTCCTGGAGTTCAATCCCACCAAGTGCAAAGTCATGAAGATTAGGGAAGGGCAAAGAAGACCGCAGACGGAGTACAGTCTAGGGGGGCCAGAGACTACAAACCTCGCTCAAGGAAAAAGATCTTGGGGTGAGTATAACACCAGGTACATCTCCTGAAGCGCACATCAACCAAATAACTGCTGCAGCATATGGGCGCCTAGCAAACCTCAGAACAGCATTCCGACATCTTAATAAGGAATCATTCAGGACCCTGTACACCGTGTATGTTAGGCCCATATTGGAGTATGCGGCACCAGTTTGGAACCCACACCTAGCCAAGAACGTAAAGAAACTAGAGAAAGTGCAAAGGTTTGCAACAAGACTAGTTCCTGAGCTAAGAGGTATGTCCTACAAGGAGAGGTTAAGGGAAATCAACCTGACGACACTGGAGGACAGGAGAGATAGGGGGGACATGATAACGACATACAAAATACTGAGAGGAATTGACAAGGTGGACAAAGACAGGATATTCCAGAGATGGGACACAGCAACAAGGGGACACAGTTGGAAGTTGAAGACACAGATGAATCACAGGGATGTTAGGAAGTATTTCTTCAGCCACAGGGTAGTCAGGAAGTAGAATAGTTTGGGAAGCGATGTAGTGGAGGCAGGATCCATACATAGATTTAAGCAGAGGTATGATAAAGCTCACGGTTCAGGTGAGTACAACTAGGTGAGTACACACACACACTGGTCACTGACCCCTCGGGGGCAGTGACCACGTGGTTCTGAGCATCGAATACATAGCAGAGTTACAAGTGAAGAGGGAAGCAGGAAGGGCAGGACAAATGAAGCCAAACTACACAGGCATGAAGAATTTCCTACACGGGGTTCAGTGGGACAGAGAACTGGCAGGGAAGTCAGCAAACGAGATGATGGAATATGTGACAGCAATATACACGGAAGCTGAGGAGAGGTTTGTACCCAAGGGTAACAAAAATAACGAGAAAGCCAGGATGAGCCCATGGTTCACCCAAAGGTGTAGAGAGGCCAAAATCAAGTGTGCTAGAGAATGTAAAAAGATATAGGAGGCAAAAGACCCAGGAGAATAAGGAGAGCAGTCGTAGAGCCATAAATGAATATGCACAGATAAGAAGGGAGGCCCAACGACAATATGAAATTGACATAGCAGCGAAAGTCAAATCTGACCCGAAGCTGTTTTACAGCCACATCAGGAGGAAAACAACAGTCAAGGACCAGGTAATCAGGCTAAGAAAGGAAGGACGAGACATCACAAGAAACGACCGAGAAGTATGTGAGGAACTCAACATGAGATTCAAAGCAGTGTTCACAGAGGAAACAGAAGGGACTCCAGAAAGACAGAGAGGTGGGGTACACCACCAAGTGCTGGACACAATACATACAACCGAGGAAGAAGTGAAGAGGCTGCTGAGCGAGCTAAATACCTTAAAGGTGATGGGGCCAGATAACATCTTAACACATATATAGAAACAGGGCGACTACCTGAGGTATGGAAGACAGCAAATGTAGTCCCAATTTTTAAAAAAGGAGACAGACATGAAGCATTAAACTACAGACCAGTGTCACTGACGTGTATAGTATGCAAAGTCATGGAGAAGATTATCAGGAAAAGAGTGGTGAAGCACCTAGAAAGGAATGAGCTTATCAACGACAGCCAACATGGCTTCAGGGACGAGAAATCCTGTGTCACAAACCTACTGGAGTTCTTTGACACGGTGACAGCAGTAGATTGCGTTTTCTTAGACAGTATGAAGGCGTTTGACACAGTTCCAAACAAGAGATTAGTGCAAAAACTGGAGGACCAAGCAGGGATAACAGGAAAGGCACTGCAATGGATCAGGGAATACCTGTCAGGAAGACAACAGCGAGTCATGGTACGTGACGAGGTGTTAGAGTGGGCGCCTGTGACGAGCGGGGTTCCACAGGGGTCAGTCCTAAGACCGGTGCTGTTTCTGGCATATGTGAACGACATAACGGAAGAAACAGACTCAGAAGTGTTCCTGTTTGCAGATGATGTGAAGTTGATGAGAAGAATTCAGTCGGACGAGGACCAGGCAGAACTACAAAGGAAATGAAGTTCAACTCAATCAAGTGCAGTCATGAAGATTGGGGAAGAGCAAAGAAGACCGCAGACAGAGTACAGTCTAGGGGGCCAGAGACTACAAACCTCACTCAAGGAAAAGGATCTTGGGGCGAGTATAACACCAGTCACATCTCCTGAAGCGCACATCAACCAAATAACTGCTGCAGCATATGGGCGCCTAGCAAACCTAAGAATAGTATTCCGACATCTCAATAAGGAATCGTTCAGAATCCTGTACACTGTACGTTAGGCCCATACTGAAGTAGGCTGCACCGGTTTGTAACCCATACCTAGCCCAGCATGCAAGGAAACTAGAGAAAGTGCAAATATTTGTAACAAGACTAGTTCCGGAGCTAAGGGGTATGTCTTTTGAGGAGAGGTTAAGGGAAATCGACCAGACGACACTGAAGGACAGGAGAGATAGGGAGGGATATGATAACGACATAAAATACTGAGAGGAATCGACGAGGTGGAAAGAGACAGGATGTTCCAGAGATAGGACACAACAACAAGGGGCCACAGTTGGAAGCTGAAGACTCAGATGAATCACAGGGATGTTAGGAAGAATTTTTTCAGTCACAGAGTTGTTAGGAAATGGAACAGTCTGGGAAGTGATGTACTGGACGCAGGACCCATACATAGCTTTAAGAAGATGAATGATAAAGCTCTTGGAGAAGGAAGAGTGGCCTAATAGGAGCTAGTGAAGAGGAGGGCCCAGGAACTGTGAATCGACCCCTGTAACCACAACTAGGTGAGTACATACACACACACACACACACACACACACACACACACACACACACACACACACACACACACACATCCATCTAAAAACAGTTTTTCAACATCGAAGTTTAGTTAGTTTAATATGTTTATTATGCACCCCATATCCATCCTGTGGGCGGTAGTCAAAAGATTACAAAGGTACATAATTGGTCCAGGGACAACATCGAAGTAAGGAGACATTTACAACACTGTACATCGTGTACGTCAGGCCGATACTGGAGTACGCAGCACCACTACAGAACTCACACCTGGTCAAGCATGTCAAGAAATTGAAAAAAGTGCACAGGTCTGCAATAAGACTAGTCCCGGAGGTGAGGGGTGTGTCATGTGAGGGGTGTGACATGTGAAGGGTGTCATGTGAGGGGTGTGACATGTGAAGGGTGTCATGTGAGGGGTGTGTCATGTGAGGAGCGTCATGTGAGGGGTGTGTCATGTGAGGGGTGTGTCATGTGAGAAGTGTCATGTGAGGAGTGTGTCATGTGAGGGGGCGTGTCATGTGAGGGTTGTGTAATGTGAGGGTTGTGTCATGTGAGGGGTGTGTAATGTGAGGGGTGTGTCATGTGAGGGGTGTGTCATGCGAGGGGCGTGTCATGTGAGGGGGTGTGTTTTGAGGAGTGTGTCATGTGAGGGTTGTCATGTGAGGGTTGTCTTGTGAGGGGTGTGCCATGTGAGGGGTGTGCCATATGAGGGTGTGGTCATGTGAAGGGGTATGTCATGTGAGGGGTATGTCATATGAGGGGTGTGTCATGTGAGGGGTGTCAGTGAGGGGTGTGTCATGTGAAGGGTGTGTTATGTGAGGGGTGTCATAGAGGGGTGTGTCATGTGAGGGTTGTCATGTGAAGGTTGTGTCATGTGAGGGTTGTGTCATGTGAGGGTTGTATCATGTGAGGGGTGTGTCATGTGAGGGGTGTCATGTGAGTGTGTGTCAGGTGAGGGGCGTCATGTGAGGGGTGTGTCATGTGAGGGGTGTGTCATGTGAAGTGTCATGTGAGGGGTGTATTATGTGAGGGGTGTGTCATGCGAGGGTTGTGTCATGCGAGGGGCGTGTCATGGGAGGGGTGTGTTTTGAGGAATGTGTCATGTGAGGGTTGTCATGTGAGGGTTGTGTCATGTGAGGGGTGTGTCATGTGAGGGTTGTGTCATGTGAGGTTGTGTCATGTGAGGGTTATGTCATGTGAGGGTGTGTCATATGAGGGTTGTGTCATGTGAGGGGTGTGTCATGTGGAGTGTGTATGTGAGGGGTGTGTCATGTGAGGGGTGTGTCATGTGAGGGTTGTGTGATGTGAGGGATGTGTCATTCGAGGGGTGTGTCATGGGAGGGGTGTGTTTTGAGGAATGTCATGTGAGGGTTGTCATGTGAGGTGGTGTGTCATGTGAGGGTTGTCAGTGAGGGTTGTGTCATGTGAGGGTTGTGTCATGTGAGGGTTATGTCATGTAAAGGTGTGTCATATGAGGGGTGTGTCATGTGAGGGGTGTCAGGTGAGGGGTGTGTCATGTGAGGGCTGTGTCATGTGAGGGTTGTGTCATGTGAGGGGTGTGTCATGTGAGGGGTGTCATGTGAGTGGTGTCAGGTGAGGGGTGTGTCATGTGAGGGTGTCATGTGAGGGGTGTGTCATGTGAGGGTGTTATGTGAGGGGTGTGTCATGTGAGGGGTGTGTCATGTGAGGGTTGGGTCA